GATGATGAAAATAATAAGAAATGTTTCTTGAGCATCAAATCAGCATACTGAAATTATTTCTGAAGGATCATTATTATTTATATCATTATATTTTTAAGTATATAAAAATAGAAAACGGTTACTTTAAATTGTAAGAATATATTACTGCAATAATAGTATTTTAGTATATTTAACAGTGTTACCGTTTTTACTGTATTTCAAATAAAGCATAAGACTGCATTCAAAAACATTTTAAAAAATCTTACCGACCCCAAATTTTTAAACAGTAGTGTTATGTGCTTATATGAACAATGCAAATCTGCAATATTTAAATATAACAATCACCGTTTCCTCACAATTTGAGGACTTAATCTTATGTACTATTTCTGAAAGATGTTTTTGCTGCTGGTGCCTTTCTCATTTACATTTGTATAAAATGATGATGCATTTTGCTGATGGGTGATATTTCATACTTGTTGCGGTTTGAAAGATGAAAATAAATTGAATCTTGAATTTAATTAAACACCCCATGTGGATTTTACTTACGAATAAATTTGCTCCTAGGTCTTTCTCAGTTTCTCAGTCGATTGCCCTCAGAATTGTCAAAACTTGTGGAAGACTTCATTATAATAATGGTAGCTTTCATAGTAATAATTTGCTATCATGTGAATATAATATGAATTAAGAGGAAAACATTTTTAGTTTGGTGTTGTTTAAGGCATATTTGAGTCTTTCTAATGAGGCTGTGGAGACACAGAAGTTTGGGAAACAGAGCAAAGCACAGTGGACTTGAGATATTTCAGCACCCTGGACAGCTCTAAACTCTGAGCTAGTCAAATTGGTTAAATCTGAGAGACTACGTTGTGATATCGCCATCTGTACTACCATCTGTCTTGTTAGACAGGTCCCGTGGCTGGATGGTTGGCATTGTAACTGCTCGTTTTAACCCTGTATCCGTCTATGTGGTTGCTCTTTATTTCTAAATGTAAAAATCCAGACAGGTAGCTGTGAATACTATATATTCACAGCCTGTCTGTGCTTAAATGTTTAAACTCCAGTGATTTCTCTTTCCCACTCTCTCTTATTGTCTTTCTTCCCTAACTTTATCCAGCCATTGTGGAGAGCTTGTGGGCAATAAACTGTTTCCAGCAATGCCCAGTGGTTTACCACTAAACAACACTGTCCAAGCAAAGCTGTAAAAAGACATTTCCTTTACCAGCCAAGAGAAGCTCTTGATTATTGTGGATTTATGTGCATGCATGTGCTCTTCAGGAAATATTGTACAATTGCACATCCTTCTTGGAAATACTAATATAGTTAACTACATAATGTAGTATGATTTATAATAATAAGGCTTAATTCATGGTCAATATTTGCACTTCTGTTACTTAGTATATGGTCCTCCCTTCTCCATAAAGAAAAGACTCATGAATTGGGCATTATCTTTTAGTTCAGCGAGTCACATTTGTTTGTTACCTGGAGGCAGCACAGTACCATAGAGGGTTAACCACTTGCTGCCTGTCAGCTACAGTAGTTGCAATGGTTTTCACTACATCTGTATGCATCTTGTTGTACGAGTATGTAAAGTCTGTAGCTTCAGGCACTTTGTCAAATGCAACATTAGGTAGTTCAGTGTCTCCTGCATTGTTTCTATATGTCTGCATGATCTCTGTATATAAAGCATACAGTGTATGCATTTAGTTAAAAGTTTGGACACACTTGACTGAATTTGTATTTCAGTCTTAAATTAAAGGAATAATTTACCCAAAATGAAAATTCTGTCATTGTTTACTCATTCTCATGTCATTCCAAACATTTTTGCTTCTGTTACACGTGAAAGATATTTTGCGAAATGTCTCAGTGTTTTTTTTTTTCATACAATCAAAGTCAATGGTGTCCAACATTGTCTGGATACTAACATTCTTTGAAAATATCTTCTGTTTTTCACTGAAGGAAGTAAGTCATACAGGTTTGGAGGGACATCATGCTGAATAAATGATGACAGAATTTTCATTTTTGGCTGAACTATCCCTTTACGTTCAACTAATGATTTCCCACAAAATGTAGAGCTTTTTTATGTATAAATAATGTATAAATTGTATCCATGTATGAATTCCTTAAAAAAATAATTTTTTTATTAATTTTGTTCAATGGACAAGTTGGACAAGATAACGAAGGAAAGCCAACAATTGTCCAGAATATATGGAAACACATTCAGTTTAAGAAGTATCTCAGGATATGCCTCAAATATACTGTGCTGCTTGAACATTTCTGCGTAAATATGACCCAAAAGATCATCAGATTTTCACACAAGTTCTGAAAGTTGACAGAGAATCCAATCAAGCAAATGAGACAAAAATATATACTTTGTCATTTATTTATTCTGAAAAATGATCTCTAATGATCTGTGAGTGGCAAAGGTATGTGAATCTCTAGGATTAGCGGTTAATTTGAAGGCGAAATTAGAGTCCATCTGTTCAGAGGTGTTTTTAATCAATGGGATGACAATCAGGTGTCAGTGTGTGCCCTGTTTTATTTAAAGAACATGGATCTATGAAAGTCTGATCATGTTTGTGGAAGTGAATCATGGCATGAACAAAGGAGATCTCTGAGGACCTCCAAAAGAAGATGTGTTGTTGCTCATCAGGCTGGAAAAGGTTACAAAACCATCTCTAAAGAGTTTGGACTCCACAAATCCACAGTCATACAGATTGTGTACAAATAGAGGGAATTCAAGACCACTGTTACCCTCCCCAGGAGTGGTCAACCAACAAAGATCACTCCAGAAGCAAGATGTGAGGTTGCAAAGAACCCCAAGGTAACTTCTAAGTAGCTAAGGGCCTTTCTCACATTGGCTAATGTTAATGTTCATGAGTCCACCATCAGGAGAACACTGAAAAACAGGGTGTGCATGGCAAAGTTGCAAGGAGAAAGTCACTGTTCTCCAAAAAGAACATTGCTGCCTGTCTGCAATTTGCTAAAGATTATGTGGACAAGCCAGAGTGTTATTGGAGAAATGTTTTGTGGATGGATGAGACCAAAATAGAACTTTTAGGTTTAAATGAGAAGCACTATGTTTGGAGAAAGAAAACACTTTCCAGCATAAGAACCCTATCCCATCTATGAAAAGGTGGTGGTGCAAGTGTCATGGTCTGGGCCTGTTTTGCTGCAACTGGGACAGGATGGCTTGCCATCATTGATGGAACAATGAATTTCTGAATTACACCAGCAAATTAATGTTAATGTTTTGGAATGGTCAAGTCAAAGTCCGGACCTTAATCCAATGAAAATGTTGTGGAAGGACTTGAAGCAAGCAGTTCATAGGATGAAACCCACCAACCTCACAGAGTTGAAGTGGTTCTGTCCTGAGGAATGGACTAAAATTCCTATAAGACGTTGTGCAGGACTGATCAGCAGTTACAAGAAATGTTAAGCTACAGTTATTGCTGCAAAAGGGGGTCACACCAGGTACTGAAAGCAAAGATTCACATACTTTTGCCACTGACAGATATGTAACACTGGGTAATTTTCTCAATAAATAAAGACAAAGTATATATTTTTGTCTCATTTGTTTGATTGGATTCTCTGTCAACTTTCAGAACTTGTGTGAAAATCTGATTATCTTTTGGGTCATATTTATGCAGAAATACAGAAAATTCTGAAGGGTTCACAAACTTTCAAGCAGCACTGTAAGATAGTTTTGGTTTCTTTAAATAATTTTTTCTCTACATATTTCCCATACTTCCATTTTCATTTCAATTTTTTTGTTGACTTCACTATTATTCAAAAATGTTGAATATAGTCATTAGAATGAGTAGATGTGTCAACTTTTTGATTGGTAGTATCGACCCTATTTTTCAAGATGGAAGTAAGCTATTTTCTGTAAATGTAATGCGATTCTTTAGGTATATAAGAATGACACAGTACAGTATACAGTAAAACTATTTGCAAAACAAACTATTGTGTCCATGATTGTTGTAACAAGTTAAAATATGATAACATACCAACATCAAGCAGCATAACAGACAGGTTTTGTACATCTAACTGACACCAGAGGTCTTGCGCATTCAAGGTAAAAATGACTGCGTCTGCTTTTACATTAAAAATAAGGTGCATACAATGTGCTTTGGGTTTGAAATGCTTAGTTTTATGAGAGGAATAATGTAAACGTTTGGAATGAGGAGCAATCCTGCAGTTAGAAGAATCTGGGTCAGAGTGCTGGCGGATTAGAGCCGACTCTTTTCAACTCTCAATTCTTGGGAGAAGATTTGGACTCGGCCTTTCTTTTGGTTTCTTTTCTTCCTCATCCTTGATCTCTCCTTCACTTCTTCTCTTAAGGTCTCTGCTAAACTCTTGCATAGAGAATCAACGTGTGATGTGTATGTATGTAAGTGGCAAGGGTGCAAAAGCCAAGTGCTAAAACTATAGCGTTTCAATTAACACTTTGCTTATTCTGTTAGTCTCTCACATCTGCTCCCTCTTCAGCCTTCTGATTTCATACCCTGTCTTTCATGTCTATCTATCTGAACCTTTATTATCTCCCCTTCTCCAGCTGCCATTGGAGTCCATTATCGACAGTCAGGCTAATGGATTCTGGAAAATCCTTCATGTTCAGCCGTTGGTTTCAGCTCGGAGCACCACAGGAACGCATGTAGCAGACCATATCAAGAATACATGACTTAATGTATTGCATGTCAGCTCAGTATATTGAGTTGTTTCTTCATGCTGTAACAGTGAGCACAGTTTCCTCAGTGGCCTGAGCCCAAAGGCAGGTTTGATAGTGATGGAAGGGAGTATTGAGTGTTTAGATAATGGTATTGATTTTAGAACTGCCTACCGAATGGCCCCATCTGCCCTGTGTAGGACCATTAGCACCTAAGCTCAGATCGTGTGAGAGCACAGTCTTGGATTGGTCTTCCTCTCTCAAGAGCTTCCCACTCTAGGCTCTCTCCAGCTTTCAGCTCATCAGTTGCACAGGACTAGTTAAAAATGTATTTATCTATTCTCTTTTCTCTCCCCAGACAAACATCCCGTTCCTCCAGAACGTGCTGAGTAATAATCAGTTCCTGAATGGGACGGTAGATACTCAGTTCATCGATGAGAATCCAGATCTCTTCAACCTCAAACCGGTGCAGAACCGAGCCCAGAAACTGCTTCACTACCTGGGTAACCCTTTGTTGAACAGTTGATTCAGTGAACATAATTCACACTTGTTTGACTGGATTTAAAGGTGCAAATTTGTTTTCTGATGTTTATTTCATATTTTATGTTTGATTCATTTCATGAGTGCTATTCGTTACTTTTAGTGTCAGAAATGAACTTTTTAAATTAGATTTGATTTGCTCCCCTGGAATTGATTATCAGAGGCATTTATACCTTAATGAGGGTATTTATTCCAAACCATAAAACACAGCATGTTGTCGATTTATGACAAAAACTCAGTTGAGCTAATTAATTGAACTACATTTTCAGTATGACCAGTTATGGCTGCTAAATATAAAATCAAATCAAGTAGCTTAAAATAATGCACAAGATGTCATGAAACTATAAGCCTTTATTGCACTCATTTCAACTAAACACATTATTTAATATGCCTAGAATAGTATATAATAAAAGGTCAGACAGCAGATAAAATCAAAATCCATAGAATATACTACAGGGCATTTTTGACCCCACATTGATAACATCTGGGACATTTTTGTCACTTTCGTTGTGTAAAACTTTAAAATAACTGAATGCATGTTTAATGCATCAGTTATCTTATTACAGATTATAAACAGCTCTCGTGTTTCTATCATGAATGTTTAACATCAGTGCAACTTATACAGAGAGAATTTAACCATTTAAAAGCTAAGCATCAGTACGATTTTTTTTTTAAAGAAATATAATACTCAACTAAACTGCATTAAATTGATAAAAAGTGAGAGTAAAGACATTTAATGTTATAAAATATTGTTATTTGAAATAAATTCTTTTGAAGTTTCTATTTAGCAGAGAAAAAAAAATAGAAAAGCACAAGCAGCATATTAGAAAGATTTCTGAAAGATCATGTGATACAGACGACTGGACTAATGGCTGCTGAAAATTCAGCTTTGCATGACAAGAATAAATAGCATTTTAAAATATTTTTAAAAAGAAAGTTATTTGAAATTTTAGTAATATTTCACAATATTATTTTTTTTACTGAAGTTTTGATCAAATAAATGCAGCCTTGGAGAGCAGAAGATACTTCTTTTAAAATAAGAATAATATAATGAAAAATTTTGAAAGGTATTGTGAATATGAACAAAAATGTGTAATTTTCACCATCCCTGCTCTTTCTCACTCAGCTGCCCTTTACAAAGTTTAAGTCAAGCCAAGAGCCAAAACCTTTTAAGTAATGTGGGCTGTGCAGTCTCCAGTCCACTTGACCCATCCACTCAGTGTATTATACCAGCAGAGGTGGATTTGAAGCAGTTTGGACTATTTGTGTGTGATTGCGTTTGCTTGTCATTCAGGGCATGTTATGGTGAACGGCCCGACTACTCCGATACCTGTCAAGGCTAAGCCTTCTCCCATCGATCCGGTCATCCCACCAGTACCCCTCGGTGAGAAACACACACACACACACTTTCCTTATCTTACATTCACACGCTGTCAGTTTCTCACACTACAAACTCCGCATAAGCTGCCTTTTCACTTGGTTGCCGTGATATTTCATTGATGCACTGCAGAAGGCATGAAGTAGAGTATGTTTACATCTTTCAGAAGGTGGTCATAATTCATCTCTCCCCCTCAGCGTTTCATGAAGTTACCTTTGACTATATTGTATTATAATCTACATCAGGAGGAACAGAATATTAAGACGTTTGTTTACAAAAGAGCCCCTCCACCACATTTTCATTCACTTTTTTACTTCCATCTTGTGTGGATTTGTTTGGACATGTGCCAAGAGCGAAAATCAATTGTTATGTTCTGGAAAAACTACTTAATTTTTTTCTGTTATAAAACTGTATGTCTATTAAGATGCACATTGTTTTGCGTTTTTGTGTCTGAATGTGAATAATAGCCCTGATAAAACTTGTTTTTTTTTCTTTGTAGTCCTACGCAGCGTGGTGTTAATATTGTCTGTATTATTAATTGGCAGTTTGTGTGTTTGTATGCACTCTGCAGGTGAGCCACCAGTGGGTTTCAGGGATGTGCTGCTGAGAGAGGGTCCGGATGGTTTTGCGAAGGCGGTACGTGCCCACCAGGGTCTGCTGCTTATGGACACTACGTTCAGAGACGCCCACCAGTCCCTCCTGGCCACTCGTGTACGCACTCACGACCTCAAACGGATTGCACCTTTTGTGGCTCACAGCTTCAGTAACCTCTTCAGCGTGGAAAACTGGGGAGGTGTGGTACTAGTTCAACACTATTGTTTTCTTTCCTTCTCATTCTTTCTCTCTCTCCCTTCCTCTCTCCCTCCCTCCCTATTTTTTGCCTTACCGCTCTCATGCATTCTGGCAGCAAACCCAGCCTACTATTCTCCAGCTCGAATATTTGCCTCATTCCAGCTGAATAACACAGATCGATCAAATACCAGTGAAGCCAGGGTCTGGTTTTGATTGCTCTTAATGACTCTGGATGTTTTATTACTTTTAAGGAATAAACGTTTGTTAAAAATAAATGCAATTCCATTGTTAAATTGTTGGATGATTTCATTAATAAATAAGTTAAAAACTATTTTTTTTTGCAAAAGGTGTGTTTACACAGGCTTTTCCTAGGTACCATAAATCAAATAAAACAGAAATAGTAAGCAACTACTACTGGCAAAACACATAATGTATTTTTAGATACATGTTGGCATATGAATTATGGATAAATTAAACCATTAAAAGTTTTCACTGAAATAAAATATAAACATTAGATGAGAAACCTAAACTGAAATGAAAAAGTAAACGAAAATGAGAAATAAAACCAAACTTAAAATAAATCAAATAGGAAAAAAATATATAAAAATGACAAAGCACATACAAATTTCTAAAACTAAAACTTTGTGTTGAGTTCATTTCTGGAATCAAAGTGTGGACTCACAGTATGATTCCAATAGGAAGGTGCTTTACATGCTTCTTAGAGTTTTCCACATCTGTTCCTCCAATGCTGGATATTCTGATCCTCTTATTTATTTTTTGTGTCCTGTCTCTCTTTCTTGTTCACCAGGCGCTACTTTTGACGTGGCAATGCGTTTCCTATGTGAGTGTCCCTGGAAAAGGCTTCAAGAGTTGAGGGCTCTGATGCCAAATGTGCCTTTTCAGATGCTTCTGAGAGGTGCCAACGCCGTTGGATACACCAACTACCCTGACAATGCCGTCTTCAAGTGAGTCATGTGGTATCTTACACCACAACCTGCTCACAGTCTGAATGAACTTCTCAAATGTTAATCTTTTAACTGACGGGAATCACAAGGAATTAAATGTTCTGATTCAGACTCCACTTACAGTAATGGTTATTTTCATACCTTCAAGGAAGCACATGAGGAATCAAATTGGAAATTACTATTTTTCTTGTTTGTCAATATTAAAAAGAACCGGCTCATTTGAGTCATTTGTTCATGAATTGCTTGCTATAACTTTGTATTGCATTCAATAGTAAATTATTTTGCCATTACACTATAGATTCAGGAACAGCACAATGCTGCTGCTGAATAGTGACACATGAAACACTGACAGAGTATTTTGATATGGTTTCCCACCCACTTCAGCGGAAGAATGCAGACATTAACGAACAAACTGAAAAATCATTCAGTTCCACTATTTGTTAGAAAAACCCTTTGTCTTCACTAGCTTTTGTCTTCTCCATTTGTTTCTTGCTGCCACTGACTCTGGCCCCAAGCACCATTCAGATGGCTTTTAATTCATATTAGAATGTGGAACTGGGGAGCATTTGTGCTCATTTAATGGCTTTGTTTCAGACCTACCATAAAATGGCTGCTACTAGTTTCCATTCAGCATTTTCAATGGCAAAATAAACAAATGTAAGTCTTATGGATCAAAAATCGCCCATAAAATGTAGGCAACTGACATTTTGATGGGCCCTAATACTTGCTTAAATCAGGTAGGAGAGCAAAGCTAACAGGAATCTTCTAAACCTCCCCTAAGTAAACAAACCAGTGTTATTTTAATATTATTTATATGCTAATGTTTTGAATTAGCTTTTTTGTATCTTCATTTTGTTTTATTTTTGTCAATTTTGTAATGTGCTTTTGTCATTTTTATTTGTTTTTTTTTTATAAATATGCTATTTCACTTTATTTTTATTCAGTTTAATTTGTCATTTTAGTAACATTTTATGATACTTCAGCCTAAACTTGTCAATCAGTTCCCAGGGCAGTTCAGGTTTTTCATCTTATTATTTAGAATAGATATATCTATTATAATATATAATGATAATATATATTTTATATTTTTTTCTGCTTTATTTCAGTTACCAAAAAGTGTTTTAGCTTTATAGTTTTAGCTTAAGTTAACAATAACAACACCGAAACAAACAGCTCTGTGATATATCGATACTCATTACATAATTTCCTCTGTTTTTGTTAGGTTCTGTGAGGTGGCCAAAGAAAACGGTATGGACATCTTCCGTGTGTTTGACTCGTTGAACTATCTTCCAAACATGCTCTTGGGGATGGAGGCAGCTGGTGCAGCAGGAGGAGTGGTGGAGGCGGCCATCTCGTACACTGGCGACGTTTCCGACCCCATGAGGCAGAAATATTCCTTAGACTACTATCTCAAACTAGCAGATGAACTGGTCAAGGCTGGAACACACATCCTCTGTATCAAGGTGGTTGTTTGTTTATTTTTGTGTGGGTTTTTTCTTTTTTTCTTTTTATCCGTTTGTCTGTTTTGTTAACCGATAGATGGATGGGTGAATATGTAGACGGGTTTGTAGATGGATGGATGGACAGGTAGATATGGATATAAGGATAGATAGACAGACAAACGGATGGATGGATGGATGAACAGTTAAAAAGATAGATGTAAGTGTCGATAGATAGATAGATGGATGGATGGATGGATGATTTTTGTGTGGGTTTTTTCTTTTTTTCTTTTTATCCGTTTGTCTGTTTTGTTAACCTCAACTCTTGCTCACTCTTTCATCTCGACTGCTGCTCCCACTCTGCCTCCACCCACACATAAAATACCACTGCATCACTGTCTCTGTTTGTTTCTAGTGCACTTCTCTCACTTTCCTTTACTTTCTCCCTCTGGCTCTCCTATCTGCAGGACATGGCGGGTCTCCTAAAGCCTGACTCTGGCCGTTTGCTGGTGGGAGCATTGAGGGACCGTTTCCCAAACGTGCCGATCCATGTGCACACTCACGACACCGCAGGGGCCGGTGTGGCTGCCATGCTGGCGTGTGCAGAGGCAGGAGCAGACATAGATAGATAGATGTTGTAATGCTTAGACGGATGGATAGATAGATAGATAGATGAACAATTACTCCTCATCCTTCTGCAGTTGTGAAGCTCTTACCTCAACCCAAAATGCTCTTTGTGGTATTTAATATTCAACACACCTGTTTTACACAATTTTTCAGCTGCTGTGCCTCATTTTATGCAAATTCTCCGAATGGGCGAATTAGGTCATGGGAAGTCAGCTAAAAGAAGAAGAAAAGCAAACAAAGCAGGGCAGGAGTGGTAATGAAAGAAATGGAAAAAAACTATAACAGCACGGCCAGCCAGCTCTGGAAAGGAGGAGAAGAGAAAGAAATTGATGTTGGGGCGAATGAAAAGAGTAGAGAGAAGGGTCAGTGCGGACAGACATCATTTGGATGTTGGTGGCTGACCCCTAGACCTTTCCTTAATTGTGACATTACTGTGGCTGCTGGTGCTTAACCTTCACTGATGAGTCTCGTGCCCCGTTGGGCCTTCTCGCAGTAGGGTGTGTGTGTTTGTGGCCAGAGACTTTTCAGTGTGGTCGGTGTGGGAGACCATCTGTCCAACCATGGGTCACTGCGTCACCTGCCGCTGTAGTGACCAATGGCATGAAGATCTACTTCATTAAGGCTGCTTCATACTGCCACAGCAAATGTCAACACTTCTAACATCCTGTTGACTGTATAATTAACATCACTCAAGGAAAAGTGCTGTTGTGCTGAATATCAACATTCATTTGTGGATATTGTTTCTCTACAACTAAAGGATTATTACATTGGTATTATTAATCTGGTCAATGCTAATAGGTTGATCATTATTTTCATGTTTATAATTAAATTAAAAATAACATAAAATTAATATCTTGAAATTCAGTCTTAAATTTACTTTCATATAACCTGCAGAAACCCTGTACCAATATTTTGTACATCAGCCCACTTAGAATAAGTGGTCGACCAATATATAGCCATGGCTATATATTGGCAAATATCGAAAGCAGTTATTAAAATACAGGCCGTGTAAGCTAATATAATTTACACCCTAGGCTTTCTAATTAAGCCACCAAACATCACATTAATGAAGCACAGAGACGTGAGCTGTGGCACTAATATACTGGAAAACCCTGGTTGTTGTTTCTATGAAAGTCTATCTTTTATGTATAAAAACAACCCCCTCCTCTGGAGCTCCACATGGCATGGGTGTGTGACTTTGGCGGTACGAGATGCATCAGAGAGCTCACATGATGAGGAGGTGTTCAGTTTTTGTTGATTCAGTTTGTTTTATTCCCACGAGATTCAGCCGCACCCCCTCATTCTCACTACCCTGCGTTTCTTTGGTTTTCGCTCCTGGAGGTGTTGCCTAGGTAATTGAATTGTTTGGAGGCTGTCAGGTTTCCTGTGGCAGTGTTATTGCAGTCTCTGTTTCTCCGTGCACTGTTTTGTTGCCATATGCAACATCCAGTATTAATCACCTGTTTACAGCTTTTTAAAACAAGCTGCCGTATGTGTTGATATGAAGAGAAAGAGACAGCGCTGACAAACGCTTAATACTTATTACAGCACTCGCAAGGCAGCACTGTATTGATATTCCCCAAACATTCCATTTGTTCTCTCCTCCTCCTGAACCTCCGCCTGAACCTCTCAACATGCAGACCAAAAATCAAATGAACTTACATTGGTAGAATGTTTACCATTTAAAATTTGCATATGCATACTATTTGCATACTGAGTTCCAATTGGTCTTGTTTCTTGCATCTGTTTGCGTGCTGTATTGTGATTGGTGTTTTCTGTCATGCCTCTATTTAACCATATAGCCACCTTTACACAGCAAGAAGTATCACGTTATGTGTTGATTCTCATGCACAGCTGACAAAAACAAGACTTGCTGAGTGTTATGACAACCTGCAAATTGACTCTAATGTGGCACTTATGTAAAAAATATGTTCAAAATCAAACACAGACAGCAATTTGTTGCAAATCTACTTCATTGTAAAGTTTGTTGACTGAACAACATTGTAACAAAGTTCATAGTCACGGGAAGAAGGAGGCGGGAACCGGCGGACATTTAAATAAACTTTAATAAAATAAACAAACACAAAATAGCGCGACAGCCCCTCGCGGACGACTGTCGCGCACAAACAAAACCAAAACACAAAATAAAATCCAGGCCTGGTCCTCTCTCGTCCAACACGGTCGTCACTCCTCCCTTTTATCCTTCCGGAGCTCCTCCGTGAGACTCGAGACCGGTGAGTGGGTGCAGGTGTCGCTCATTAGCAATCACTCCACCGGCCTCGCTCCGTTCCCACGGCTCTCGGCCCCGCCCCCACTCGTCACAAACATCCTATAGTTTGTTTTTCTTTTTTTCTTTCTTTCTTTTTCTTCTCTTCCTTCCTTTCTTTCTTTCTATCATTCTTTGTGTCGTTGTTTCGTTCTTTGTATTGTTGTATCATTCTTTGTATCGTATCGTTGTATCTTTTTTTGTAACTTTGTATAATTCTTTATATTGTTGTATCGTTCTTTCTATCATTGTATCATTTATTGTATTTTTCTAGCCATCCTTCCATGAATTTCTCTTTCCATCATCCATCCATCCATGAATTTCTCTTTCCATCCATCCATCCATCCGTGAACTTTTCCATCATGTAACCATCATTTTGACAACTAAAATATAATCTATTGTTTCCCTATTTCAGATGCATTTCCATAAGAAAGGATAATATAGAATTAAAGTGAAGAAAAAGGGAGAAAATAAAGGTTAAAAGTGCCCCTACAAAAACATACCAAGATGTGAGTGAGGATTTATTGTGAAATGAGATACCAAGTCTGTCTGTCTCAGTTTGCTTATCAGTCCATCTAGATGGATGGATAGATGGATAGATACAACATCCTGTCATTTTCCCGATTGTCCTTCAACTTTCTCTTTCACCTTGTCATTATTTAATCTGCCTTTCTCGCTCACTCTATCAATCTCTCGTTGTCCTGCTCAGGTCCCTCTGCCTCCCAAAGTATCTCTCTTTCTCTCTTCTCTTCAAGCCAGTTCATCACGATAAAGGCCGTGTGGCCAGAGATCAATGCCTGGACTGACTGACGTGCTCTGATAGATTGGTCTGCATGGGAAGAGCTGGACACTCCGTTTTAACACCGTAACATCAATAGCGCCTAATAGCCTGTAGTCAGGGTGGCAGCGAGTAGGAGAAGAAAAATGCATGCAAGCTAGTTTCATGAGAGCGTTATTGTGATTTCCGCAGTTGTATAACGGGTTTGTGCGCACACTTTAGAACGGATCTGTGCGTGTGTTATCTTTTGCACAGGAAAAACTATTGTGATCACAGCGATGGGCAATTAGTGAGGATGAGGGAGCCAAATGAGCATGTAAACTCTGTTGCAAGTGGCGCGCCTCATTGATTGATTAATTGACTGACTGCTGCTGGTAAATGATGAAGCCGTGAGTGGCAGGAAGCAATGCTCCGCCACCAATGCCCTGCTTCTACCACATACAGGCCCCCGTGTGCTGAGCTTTTGATGACTGATTAAAAGCTTTGGAAGAATGCCTGATTAGCTGATGCAGTCTGTTAAAGAGACGAGGACTTTCATTATTTTTGATTAAATATTAATGTCAGATAGTCATTTGTTGTGCTGCTTGTTCTCAGATTGCTTATTCCTCTTGGTAGACTAATGATGTCTCCTCCCGTCTTTCTTTACTCTTTTTTTTTTCTTTTTTTCTTTCACTTCACTCACACCTCTTTCTCAGGCATCTCTCTTGAGAAGGTATTTGACTACAGTGAGTATTGGGAGGTGACCCGAGGCCTTTATGCTCCGTTTGACTGCACTGCCACCATGAAGTCTGGGAATGCTGATGTCTATGAGAACGAGATCCCAGGTGGCCAGTACACCAATCTCCACTTTCAAGCGCACAGTATGGGGCTGGGGAACAAGTTTAAGGAGGTGAAGAAAGCCTACGTAGAAGCCAACAAGCTGCTCGGTGACCTCATCAAAGTGAGCAATTACCCCAAACCATTTTCTTTATTTACATATTCAAACCTATTTTTAGTTATTTGTGATGGGCTTTGTGGACTTGAGCTCTGTTTTATAGGGATTCACTCATACCCATAACGCAACAGTCAAGTTGTCCCATTTGTGACAAACTACAGCCATAATCCTGGATTGATTAATAAGAGATTGGTTAGAAATTACAGCAAAAAAGTGGCAAAGACTGACTCCTATGAAGCATTGCAAATATATTTGTATATATTATTTGAATACTTTGTCGTACATTGTATTTTACAATTAAAAAAAGATAACTTTTGTCCTTTTTTTTACTTTAAATCAAAATTTGCAATCTTTTAATCCTCCTCTGAGTCAGTTGTAATTCTTCTCTGAGCTGGTTTTGCATAGAATTCTTTAATAGGAGTCGTTTTGGAGAAAATTAATGAAAAAAGCTTTCAGAACCAAGGATCCTGAAAAGTATGCGATCACTTTTACACTATTCAGTGATTGCCAGACGAGAAATCAGGTCAGCTCCTTTCTTATGAAATGTCATAATACTTAAAAGGTTTTAGACATGATGACTCAAATAGAAAATATTAATGCAGTAGTACACGTTGCATTAATGTGCAAACTGTTATGATAAACTCCTTCAACCCTTCATGTCTGTTATCGCTTATGTTAATCCAGATCTTCAGTCTCTCTGAAATCACAGACATTTACATTTCTCTAGTCTGGTGTATTTATATGTAACCAAAGACATCACACCTTTTAGCAAATTAGGTTGACGTCTTTTCCTCAGATGTTATGTTTCACACACTTGAGTCGTGATGTTGTCAAATGCTCACGTTTTATGAGTCATTCCTTTTATTGTCACGCATGTCCATTTCCCAGCTTGCTGATATTAATCTGATGTTAGAATTCTTCAGAAGTATTTTGTTATAATTTGAGTTATTTTGGTCAAATGTAACGTCCAAACATGTAACATCGATTCCTCTATCATACGAAATATTCAGTTCTTACTAGACTTGTGCTTGTTGGGTCTGGTTCACATCATTTATTCAAAGACTTTGTTGGACGGTTTGGATTTTAAAAACGTCCTGCTACCACTTTGAACTCCCTTAGACATATAAAAGATAGATGTTTGTGTCTCTAATTTTGCTCTGGAATAGATTCTTTATTTTCCTTACATTTTTTTTCCCCTGTCGAAACTAGTTCATTTGAAACGTCGGGTCCTGGCACGTAATCGCTTCAAAACAGTCTAGCTCTTCAAATAATAAACGCCATCTCTGAAGAGACAGCTTTATAGCTTTTAAAAAAGCAGTCATCTGAGAAATCTATCATAAGATATAATTAGCAGCATAGAATCCACTCAAGCCTTTATTAGGTAGGTAAAGATAAAGATAAAGTAAAGAAATATATATTTTATATGCAATATATATTTTTAGATTTCACATTTTTTCTTCATTCTGTCCCCCTTTTGAATTATTTTATCCTTAACTAGTTTATTTTAAATGTTTCTTTGGTGTGGCAAAGAACACTCACTGCTCCGGGTGTGTGTTCACAGTGTGTGTGTTCACTGCTGTGTGTGTGCACTTTGGATGGGATAAATGCAGAGCACTAATTCTGAGTATGGGTCGCCATACTTGGCCACATGTCACGTCACAAATGAAAACTTTAATGATGATAATAACAATAGATAATTGTTTTATTATATAGTGCCTTTTTAAGACTCAACGAGTCAACGTCACTTTCAGACTTATTAAAATGTTTTGTTTTATACTAATAAATATTGCCTTGCCTTGCCTATTATACAAAAAATAGTAAAAAGTATTTCATATAGTCTCCTATTTAATATGAGCTCATAAACACTGCATGCATGATAATTATAAAATAATTCTGCTTTTAGTTTTAGTTAGTTAATAGTCTGCTTTTTAGTTCTATTCATAAAATGTAAAAACTCTAGGAATAACTGTATTTTGAATATTAACTGCATTGGAATATGATTTGATAAAAAAAAATTATGTGATGTGCAACCACTGTTATTCAACCAGATAGTGGAAATAAGTGGTTAAGCAGTATTCAGTCTGGCTCTCTTGCTTTGAAATCCAATTTCATATTCTTTACTTCCTGTATAATGTGAAATCCAGATAATTTTTAGGTTTTAGGTCTACAATCAGTCCTTTCAGAGATTTAAATCAGATTTCACCCCTTCATTGCATTCAAGGTTGGAAGCCAGTCATTTGAGTAAATATGCGTTATTCTTTAGATTCATGCAGAAGTGTGCTGGGTTTTTACTCCTTTTTCCATCAATGAATGGAATGTTTAAGATTGTTCATATACCGTAATCACGTCACGTGACCACCACGATCGACGCAGTTCAAATCGCTTATATGCAACATTCTCCCAGGTTAAATAGGGCTTAATTATCACCCCCTGTGCTCAGAAGGGTCTCACCCTCACTCTTGAAATCCGCTCACAAGATCATGAGCACCGTGGACCCGACAGCTCCTCTCTGCATCGCAGATTTAATTGCCTGCTTTCCTCTCTCTTTTCTCCCTCCACCTCCACATCCCTCTTATTCCGTTGCAACCGTCTCAATCTCCAGATGAAATTGAATAAAAATAACTTGGCAAAAAAGAGGGGCAGAAAGAAGGAGCGAATAAATAATCCTGTCCCTGTCTCCTATGGCCCAGAGACAGATCAACTGGGAAGAGCTTTAAGCAAAGCTTATCTGCTGTGTTTCAGAGAGGCTCTGACTGATCTCCTCCAATCAAAGGCGTCTGTGAGCGTTTGGTCTCGCCTTGCTGCTTTTCATTTCCCTGGGCTTAATTAAATGATCGAAGATAGTTGGCTTTCTGTTCTCAGAGTCCCCTCGCTGTTAATATTGTCAATATCGTAGGCCGAGCTAACAGACAACACATTAGCACTGGGTTTCATTAGCGCCTCTCTCTCTCTTTCTCCCATTCTTTTTCCCTTTTGTCCTTACTTCTCCCTAAGCTGTGTTTCTGTTTGCCACTGCACTCGTGTCTCCTCTCTTATTCCTAGTCTAGATTGGCCAGACGGCCTGAGGGCGGATAAGCCTGGCGGAGAGCTGAGATGTATTGATGGAGGCCTAAGCAAGCATGTCTTTCCTTTCTTACTTATCTGTCCTTCTCCTCTCTTCCCCTTCCTTCAGGTGACACCCTCCTCTAAGATTGTGGGTGATCTGGCGCAGTTCATGGTGCAGAACGCTCTGACTCGGGCAGAGGTGGAGGAGAGAGCGGATGAGTTGTCTTTCCCCCTCTCCGTGGTGGAGTTCCTGCAAGGACACATCGGCATCCCCCATGGAGGCTTCCCGGAGCCCTTCAGATCAAAGGTACAACCTGCACAACGCATTTCTCACTCAAGTGTGACAAGATACCTTATTAAATGTTGTACAGGATCTAAGAGTGGGTAAATTACGTTCTTAAAAGGAATATCCACCCAAAAAAAAAAAGATTCGGTCATCATTTACTTACCCTCGTGTCAAGATATTTTGATATTTTTGTCTATACAATGAAAGTTAATGGGGTCCAGTGTTGTTTTGTTTAACACAAACGTTCTGATAGTAGAAATAGTGTTTAGGGTTAAAATTTAAGCATCAACTGGGTTAAGTGGTTTAGGTTAAGTGTCAAAGTTAGAACTGTAGTGGTTGGTGCTGTGTTACAGAAACATCCTCACACTACACTTTTCATTTCTAATGAATTCCTTTCATACATATACAAATGCCTGAGACTGGAAACACAAGATCATTTTAAGAAGTTTTGCATTTCACTGCGTTCCAAAGTCAAGGTTTGGGGAACTCTGACCTGCAAATGTGTATCACGTAGTGTTATTTTACTATCATTGAAATACTAGTATAGTTTCTGCTAATATTTTAAATTTGTTTTTATTTTTTGTATTTTCCATTTTCATTTTTTTATTTAACTAAATGAAAATCAGAAATGTTTCCTTGGCAACTAGCTGAAATAAAACAAGTTTAAGTTTTTTTTTTTTTCAGTTAATGTTTATTTTATTTGAAATAATGAAAATGTTTCTTTTTATGGTTTTAGTTAACTATTATAACCTTGGTATCACATGAAGATCTGTGACCAAGATGTAACTGAATTAAAAAACACAAACTTTACAGCTGCAGGTTTGCAGCATTGCATAAAAGTGAAGTTGATTGTATATTTTTACATTTTGTATTTATTATTATGGGTTAAATGCAGAAGAAACTTTGCATTTTCAAAGTCTAGTGTTACCGGCCCTTAATTCAGAATCCTATCCTATCCTAACCATGGTGATTTCACTTAGGGAATAGAACTTTTCCAAATCTTTAGTCGAGAATTAAAGGGGTCATATGATGCTTTTTTAAAGATCATTATTTTGTGTATTTGGTGTAACAGAATATGTTGACATGCTTTAATGTTCAAAAAACACATTATTTTTCAAATACTGTACATTATTGTAGGTCCTCTATGCCCCGCCTCTCTCAAACGCTTCGTTTTCTACAAAGTCCCTCCTTCCTACAAGCGCAGTCTGCTCTGATTGGCCAGCTGACCCAGTGCATTGTGATTGGCCGAACACCGCAAGCACTCGTCGGAAATGTAACGCCCCTTACCATAATCGCGAGCTTCATCTTTCAAAATAAATGTAGAGACAGTAAATAATGTCATTAGTTTTACCATCAGTTCAAGCCCGAAAGGGGAACAGAGTCGCGTGACAGACACAGTGATGAAGCTGGTATGTGTTTGCAGTACACAAGCCACGGTTAAGACAGCTGACTCCACTGTGATGTGACCCTGTCTCTCTCTCTCTCTCACACACACACACACACACGCACACACGATGCGCAAAACTCCACATTTGAACAGTCAATAGCAAATACTTATATACTTATAAACTAATAACAAAACAGTAGCTGATTCAGAAGCGCCAGATTGTCATAGCAAAGTCAGAATTACCTCCTCTCCTAGGTTCATGAAACGGTCGTCCATAAAATGCATTGCTGTTCTGTTGTAAGTAATCTTAAAGATTCCTAAATGCATCTACTTTCGGAAGGCTAAATAAAGTGCTTTTGCTTTCGCCTAGAAACACACAGCATCTCCCTGACATGCTGCATCAATGCTAACTGCGGTTACTGAAACCACGCCTTCTTTCTTTGCTGAACATTTGGGCGGCTTTATGCTAATATTTCCACATAGTGAGGTAGATATGTGGGGGCGTGTTAGAACGAAGCGTTTTAGGGGGGCGTGGCAGAGTCTTAACTTTGATAAAGAATATCTCTTTGGTTTTGAGACTTTAGTCTTTGCAACTTCAGGGATCTTATCTATGCACAATCAGCTTGTAACACTCCAAAGAGAAAGGAAAACTTGAAATCGCATCATATGACCCCTTTAAGATAAATAGTTTCTGTAATACTGCCCCAGGGTTAGAAATATGGAATAATGTCTTGTATGGGGCCAGGGGTTGTGATGAAGATGAAAGGGTCAGAGGAAGGATTTAGAATTGATTATTTAAATGACTAAAGTTGAACTTAAGTTTAAGTCCCGGCTCAGCTTGAGCTGAGATCAGAAAGAAGAGAAGAACCTGTTTTGTACAGTATTGCATAAATACAAGTTATGCAATAGTGGTGAGCAAAATAAGCTTTAGCTCTCTCACTGAAGATATTCGGTTGATCGCAGTAAAGTCTGCCTTGAGAGGTTTCCCTACAGTCTCTAGAGTGCATTAACACTGTGTTGTGCTTGTCAGAGATACGCAAAGCAGAACCATGTCATTCCTTTTGTCTTGAACGCCCCAATTACCCAGCAACCATTCCAGTGCAAGATTAACCGTTTCCCTGACAAATGTGTCTCACATCAGAAATGAACAATGCTTGCATTAAAGCTTTTCTACGCATGCAAGTTTGCAGCTAATTTATTTATGTCTCTTTTTCAGCATTAGTAGGCCATCTGCTTTGCATATAATTTAGATAACAAACATATTTGAGCAACGTGGCCTTATTTTTTCCCATCTGTTTTGTAACATTAATATTGTTCATCATTATGCAAGCTTTGGTTTGCTTACATAAAAAGTGTTTTATTTAGGTCTGCGGTGTGTATTCTGAAGTCTTTCTTTGTTTTGATGAATAAAAATGTACAATTTGCCATTACAAGTTTAATTCTTCGCTACTTGCACTTGATTCTTCAGCCTCTTAAATTAATTTCAATGAAGCAGTAGGGAGAGATTAATCCTGCTCCTGGTAATGATCGGTTATAAATATTCTCGGATTCAGTGTGGGGCTCAGGGGGATTGCCAGCACTCTACATCATCCACTTACGAGCAGCTTGAAAATACAGCGAGGAAATATGCGTTTATTGTGTGTTCAGTCACCTGCTCTTTTCTCAGGTTCTCATCACTTGTTTGTGGCACAGGTTTTGAAGTCTCTTCCCCGTGTGGAAGGACGTCCTGGAGCCTCCCTGCCACCCATGGATTTCCAGGTCTTGGAGAAGCAGCTGCGAGATGCTCACGGTGATGAAATCACCCCGGAGGATGTGATGTCCGCAGCCATGTACCCCAAAGTGTTCCAGGAGTTCAAAGAATTCACCAGAACCTTTGGCCCTGTGGATTGTCTGGACACTAGACTCTTCCTGGATGGACCCAAGATTGCTGAAGAGTTTGAGGTGGAAGGATTTCTTTTTTTTAATAAATAAAACATTTTCATTTGCTGTTACTGTGCCATAAATCTTCCTGTCATCCATGATTGTAAGTCTCATTCCTACATTCCAACCATAAGTTCCTTATTTCCTCTTCTCATATGTCTGCTGTCTGTCTCAGGTGGAGTTGGAGCGAGGCAAGACACTTCATATCAAGGCTCTGGCTCTAGGAGACCTTAATAAAGCCGGTCAGAGAGAGGTGTTCTTCGAGCTCAATGGTCAGCTGAGATCTGTTCTGGTCAAAGACACTGTGGCCATGAAGGTGTGTTTCTGAATGTCGCAACTTTTTTCCCTTTAGTGAAATTTGGCAAAGTTTTGTACCAACTGCTTGAGGGTGGACTGACAAGAAGTAAATTATGTAAATAATGTAAATAAAACTGGTACAGTCGCGATTTTACAAGCCACATCCAGAGTCCAGACAGCATTGTCGAGATGACATTTTTATGTACAGATTTGATCATAATGAACCATCCATTAGTTTTAGTTGTAGGTTATTATAATTTCAGATTTTTAAAATGTAGTTTTTATTTCTATTTTTATTTAGTTTCCCCATGCGTTTTCTAGTTTCAGTTTAAATATCGCATGCGATTTATCGTGCAGCCCTAGTTTTGAAACATATTTGGAAAATATATTTGAGTTTTTTTCTGGTTTTTCCAGTTATTTTAGTCTTTAGTTTTTATTTCATTTTATTCAAATTTCAATTTCCTAAATAAATGCTGAACCAATGCATTTGATAATTTATTATTTTTATTTATTTTTACATTTATTATATTTATCTTTTTAATTAGTGTGTGTGTGTGTGTGTGTGTGTGCATACTGTATTTATATATACATACACACACAAACACACATTTAAAAGATAAATAGAATACATTTTAAAATTAAAATAAATTAATATAAATAAATTGTGTATATGTGTTCTCATAAACAATGTTAATGTTGTAGTACCCATGTCATTATACACATTTGTGTCCTCATAAACTATATACCAGAACACACACACAAATTATCTTATAATATTCAGCATGGATTTATTTTTTGGGAATAGTTGGTGATAGTCAAATGCAATGTGTAAATGAAACCGATGTCCCTGCTAAATCAATTTTCTTGTATTTGTAGGAGATGCATTTCCACCCTAAAGCCCTGAAGGACGTTCGTGGACAGATTGGGGCTCCCATGCCTGGTAAGGTGGTGGAGGTGAAAGTGAAGCAGGGCCAGCAGGTGGAGAAAGGACAACCGCTCTGCGTCCTCAGTGCCATGAAGATGGAGACGGTGGTGAACTCGCCGCTCTCCGGCACCGTGGCCAAGATCTACGTGACCGCCGACAGCACTCTGGAAGGAGACGATCTTATTCTGGAGGCTTGTTTTAGTGTGTTAGGCTACCATAGTTAATGTGCTAACTGATATTTGTTAATAAATATTTAATGTGTAGCTTTCATATGTAACTCCATACAGTATGTATGTTACATTTCACAGTATAGCCTAGTGTAGTTGCTGTCTAGTGGCATTTTTATGTTTTAAAGTTTTCTAATACACATGCATGCAAATAATTAAATTACTTTTTTTAAATTTTATTTTAGTACGTTTTGAATAGGGCTGCACGATAAATCGCATGCGATATTTAATGCGCATCTTGTCAGAAAAGCCGGTTCTGTAATCAGCGGTAAATCTCCATCTGAATAGATATCATGAAGGCCAACAGCAGGGAACAACACATCACCACTGCCAATCCCTGCAAGGCTAAAAACACACACACACACACACACACACACACACACTCACTCAGTTACATATGGAATCTATCACTTTTTAGAAGCAGCACACATTAAGGGAGGAAGGTTGAGCTTATTTTTACAGAATCTCAAAGAATGCCGGTTGAATCTGAAAACATTTTTACTTTCAAGCTTGAATACTTTGACTTTAGTGTCATATGTGCTTTTGTGATCACTTTTTAATTTATACGTGATGAGGATGTGAGCAAGTGTTATGCTGTTTACATAGAAATGTTTGTCAGTCTTTAATTAGTATTAATGAATGTAGTCAAAACTAAAATATTTACACTGAAAATATAACAAGCAATAAGTTAAAGACGGAAAGAGACTTAATTAGATGCATTCCTAGTCACATTAAATAATGCACACTGATGTTTCATCACTTTGGTCGTGATCGTTTACATAAACTCAAAGCACTATGACTGGAAACATAATTTTTTTAAATCATGCACAATCCTTCCCTCCCCTTACCCTTAAAAGTCTTATGGCACAGAGTATCTTACTTGAATTACCAAGCGAAATTCAATTTATTTCAAGACAAATAGCCATGTAACACGTACCCAATGTTCTGACCAATGGCCTGGCCTGCTTTGTTGCTGGGAAAATAAGAGCAAGAATGGATCTGACCTCGTCTCCTGAGTCTTACACTTGAGTTGTGTATCATGTAAAGGTGGAGAATAGTTACCCAGGTGGTTTGGGCTGAAGTGAGCTCCATTGAGGCCAACGATGATCGATGACTCTATATTCAAGAGCACTTATAGACTCCGCAGCAGCTTCGGGGCACATTGAGTTGGAACACAGGCTTTAGGGGAACGTCCTTTTCCCAAGGCGCGTCTCGTGCTTGTGTTTCAATTCCTCTCTTAATGTGAATTTATTTCACTGTCCCGTTACATTCCCCTTAGCAGCAGATGCCTCATGGCTGCTGTAGTGACACCAAATGGCTTTATTCTCCAGCTTTCTGTAATTTCCCTTGTTGAACACGATTGATGTAATTGGTAATAGATAATGAGAGGTTTTATTCAACGGCATTGGAGTAATTGAAAGCACTCAGCCTGAAATCTACGAGACGCACGGCTGTTGCGGCAAAAGAGGTCCATTGGGGTGCGTCTGAAATGGTTTTAACAGTCTTGACTCAAAGTAGACCAATTCTTCATGAGGACCAATAGCCTGCAACGTGGATATTTTCTCATCGTTCATCATAACATCCCAAGGTGGAGACTAGAGCATGCTGTTTCATCCGTGAGAATAGTACAGGCCCATAAATGTGATGATCGTCCCTTCAAATAGATGTTGCCATTAAAATGGAGCTAATGTTTTTTAGATGTAGATTTTAGAGCACAAACGTCCAACTCATCACCACAATCATTTTTGAGATTATTCCTCTGTGTTATTTGACAAATACATCTCAGTTTACACGAGCACAGAAGACTTTATCGTGACGGGCACAAAACTAGGGGATTTGTTGGGAGAGGGAAGCTTCCTGTTGGCTTTTGGACTTTTATTTGGTTCCCATATCAATATGGGGCACTGGCAACATCTCTGGAGAACCAATCGATGATATCAGCTCTGACAGCGCAGTCAAGCCAGCGACCCTCTCTGCGATTCTGTGAGAGTTTTTGAGTCGAGAAGTGGTTGATGCTTGGCTTTGTTTCATGCCACCAATACAACAATTAAGTATTTATCAAAGTTGTTGTTAAATGGGTCATGCGTCTTAATATAGCATCGTACATTGCTGATGAATAGGTACTTGGCATTGTTAACTCAAACTATTTCTGTGCATAGATTATGTCACTGTGTTTGAAATTGGGAATGTTCTGAAGGGAATCGGAACTAATCTGTGTGACATTTCGGATCTGATGCCTTTAATAGCATTCGTTACCTTTCCATTTGAATGTCTGTTTTTCTGTGAAGTTCATCTCTTTCGATCTGTTTTGATAATGAGGAATATAACATATGCAAATACTAATGCACCATACCCTCGTGTGTGTTATTTTAGCATTGAAAAATGTTGGAGAAAATATATTATATATATAAATAAAAGGAGGATAACAGACTGTCTACAGTGTCCTGTTTGATATTTTTATTTAGCATCTTGTGCATATAAGTCAATAATTAAACATGTGGTGATGCAATTGTTTTGATTCATTCTCTCAAGTAGTCGATATACACGTGAATATGCAAACCACAATGTAAAAATAGCTTGACATGATGCTTTTATGAGTCGATGTTTGAGTGGGTTCCATTCAGATCAATATCTGTGATCACGTGATCTCACGTGCCTATGACATCACATGCCTCCAATAATAGCTGCTTATTGATTGTCCATCTGCTTGCTACATGTGGCTCAAGAAACCGTCTGTATAATGGAAGACATGGAATAATATAAGATCCATCATGTGAATAATTATGTTCATTAGCTTCTTAGAGTCTTATGATTAGGGATAGTCAGCCTGCCAACAATACTGCTGACAGATGGCTCCATTTTGGTGCGCTTGTGGCAAAACGGGGTATAGGATTGTGGGATAATGTAGGAGTGATGGATGAAGCTCCCCTGTGCATCCATATGCTCATTCTATTCTGGCAGCAAGTGCGGGGTGAGTTGATTCGCTCAGCTGATGGATTGATATTTGTGGATGAAGCTCTGCAGGGTTTTTTTATTATGTTGGTCAGTCTCGTATCTGATGGATCTCATGTTGACAGTGGGGGTGTTTAATTGGAGGAAGAATGACTCAGAAGCATTAAATAAAATCTAATTTTAGAACTGCGTTTTTTAATTGAGACATACCAGTATGACCCAACTGTAGGTGTGAATATGGCATATGTCCTTGGAAAAAAACAGTGGATTATGTCTTTATTAGCTCCTCTTCGGGATCAGAGAGTTTAACTTGTCATCTTGCAGTTATTGAGGCACATTGGCAGTCTTATCAGCAGATGTATGAATCAATGTTCTTCGCCCGTGCCTGTCGATCCCACAATCCTATTTTCATTGCCTAGCTTTCATCTCTCTCTTTTTTTTTTTACCCACTCGTTCTTTCGCACTCTCTCGGCTTCATGGTTTCCTGTCTCTCTCGCTTTTTTCCCTAGTCTTTTATCACTATAACCCTGAAGGCCACCAGATTATTCCACGTTCCTTCCAGCTGTTAGAGTTCTGTTTAAGAAGGTTATCGTGTATTCAGGGAAAGTATTGGAATCCTTGCATGTACCTGGCTGTAGGTATAGTGGTGAATTAGATATGAATATTCACAGTCTAGTCTTGCCACTCTGTAATACCACAGTGTCACAAAATATTCATAAGCTCTATGTAATTCTGGCCTTTGGGTTATCCGACACGTCCCTCCTGCATACATGAGTCTCAAATAAGCCACAGTCAATACCGGAGTCGTCCTGCAATGCTACTGTCCAAAAAGCCCTTTTGCTGGTCATCTGATTGTGCATACTTCCCTGTCTCATGTCTCAGGCATAGAGTAGGCAAACAAAACCCGGATGACAGATGTACTGCTGAAATTTTGAAGGATGCAACCAGTGGACGCTTTGCTATCCCATAAGACCACAGGAGCTGAGGAACTGTCAGGTCTTGTTGAAAAACAAGTTGGTGAAAAATGGGTGGACTCTTTTAAAGTGCAAGTGCTAGGAAAGGTGTTCCTCATGGTTATATTTTACTTTTTTAACATTTTAGTACATTGTTTTTGTGGTTTTAGTATGTCATAACTCAAAAATCAGAAGTCAAAAGCAGGGTTGTACCCAAGAACATGTTTTTATTTATTGCCCAGACTTTTTAGGTATCATACTATACAATCTGTTCATATAAAGTTTGCATATTAAAGAGATATTTCACCCAAAAATGAAAGTTTTGTCATTATTCACTCACTCTCATGTTGTTCCAAACCTATATGAGTTTCTTTCTTCTGGTGAACACAAAAGAATATAGTTTGAAGAATGTTGGTAACCAAACAGTTGGGTGAGTAGATGATGACAGAATTTTCATTTTTGGGTGGATTATCCCTTTAATAGACAAATTTGTACGGCATCATGTTCAGATCTTACAGTTTGGGTGTTTTTAATTTTTTTGTATTTTTTGTGTGTATTTGTTTTAATGTTAATGGGCTCAGAGAAGGCAAGTGAAATGCTGTCTCCTGCTGTAACTACTTTAACTGCTGGGATCACTGTTGGACAATGTCACTTTAGAAAAATGAGTGATTTATATGCTTTTTAATTTCATATTTTGTCATATTTGTGTTTTATTTTTCAACTGTTGAATAGTTTCTCATCCAATTTTTGAGGCGGCACTGTCTCCCTTGCCTCCTTGGAGGAAATGCCCCTTCTGAAAAGTGAGGGAGACACGTAATGAACTATGAGCCTGTCCCAGTACCCACGTTTGCGGTCTTGGCAACCTGAGAGCATGTACACGTGACGGGAAGTAAGTGTGCAAGACTGTCCCAGGTCTGAAAAATGCCAAAGCTCAGTGCCCTTAACGCACACTAAATCCACAGTCTCTATTTGAGACTAAGCGTATCCCATCATTCTTCATGTTCTTAAACTCGCGTGGCCTGAAACAATGAGTCTTTATAGTAAAAATGTATAGTAAATTTGATAACATTTGAAACTGCTTTTTATCACTTA